GCTAGTATCTGGATATCATTCACACATGTCTGAGAGAATATATTATTAGTAGGACCCATTAATTAAGGATGCCAATTTGTTTATAATTAACTGAAGAAATTTATGGCATTAGAAAAACTATTACAGTAGCTGCTATAAACACATTTGGTAATGATAGCAATGCCAAGTTTAAATGCTTCTGAGAAGAATTACTGATACTAATACCACAATGATCACTGGCCATGTTTGACAGCACTATGTAGATGTGGCAATTATTAGTTTTATGCTCTTTTAAGTCTACTTTAAATAGCAACTTGCACAGTATTAGTATTTTTCCAAAAATACGGCAGAAAACCATTCCAAGGCTATAAAACTGTAGCACAAAATATGCATGCTCCATAATAAAGAAAATCTGAAATCTCACCACACTCAAATAGAAGAGAAACACTTAGATTTATCTTTCCTGTACACGTTCTGACATTATTATGCACTTAAAGATGAAGTGGGGAGTTGTGGTTGTGAAATAACTCATCCTATTAAATACTGAAAACAAGAAAAAATGAGATCTTGGTTCAAAAAGAGTGACAAATGACTCTTGCATTTGAATGTATAGGTTAGGTTTTTGAATAATTTGCTCATTAGGCAAGTATTTCTGTTTTATCTCAAGAGTAACAAAAACCTGATGTTTCATTGTGTAGCTGCATTTCAGAAAAGAGAATTACTGCTTTGCCTATTTATTACCTATACTAGAAATATGTTTTCCCCACCTTAATCTCCATTTACTAATAACCTTGGGTTTGTTACATCACCTCAAGAATTTCAAGCTACTCTTTGTCATGATTAGTACTTTAAATTGTCTTCTTCAAGGACCACTATCTAGGTGATGATCTAAAGTTTACAGTTCACAGTGATGATAATTGTTAAAAGTTAATAATTGAAATAAACTGATTGATAAGAAAAGCATCCTAAATACTAGAAATACTGGAACTGAGGGAAAAATCAAGATATAAATTAGCAAGATTTCTGTTCTGTTGCTCTTCATAGATAGGAAGAGTCATGATGAAACAGTACAAAGATAAATGGGGATTTACTGCTGTCTTGAAATACATTTGGTTACAGGTGTCTAGTTTGCAGGCACACTGCAGAATTTACACACTTATACACCTCATTTTGGCCTGAATTTCTCAAAGGTGTAAGTGCTGCTAATCCTGCTGATTTTGAAAGGATCTGTTAATAATCAGCAGATTTGAATGTCAGGTCATTTGAGTCTAAAAAAAGCACAGTTAGCATAGCCTACGGGAAAGGCTGAGGTTTTTTGGTGGCTAGACACTCGGGGGGGTTTTAGCGTTATGAACTAAACCAGACAGTGTTGGACATAGATTTTAAACAAAATCTCTCAGGGATAAAAACCCAAGTGTAACTATGTGTGAATAAGATGGGAGAGATTTCCTTTCCAGTGAATCAGCACTAAGTAGAAGGCATATGTCTAAGCTTTGAGAATGTATTTCTGCTTCTGTAATTGCACGGATAAGACTCATTATGCCAGTTACACAGAGACAAATACGTTATTTATCTATATGCACCTTCAGTGCTTCAGCTTCTAGCTTGGGATTCTGTTCACACAAAATGAGAAAAGTAAATTCAAAGACTTGCCTAAAAATATGTCAATAATTAAATCTGCTGTTCTCAAGGTTAAGTAATGTGTCTTTCTCTCTCTGCTATGTTAGAGGCAGTGATGAAAAAGGGATTCTTCTCAGTGTTTCTAATACAGACTAATTTGGCCGTGACATTTTTTTCTGGATTACAAAATGAAACCCATGTGGTGTTCACTGCCTGGAAAAGGAAAAGTCGTTATTGGATGCAGTAGTGACTGTGCTCAAAAGCAAAAAAAAGCCATTGCCTAACAGCAATAACAGCCATTTCTTAGAGGGACTCATTAAAGAACACAGCGAGGCAGAAAAATAGTAAAAGGAAAAAAAAAATTGCATGTATGAGAGAAACAGTAAAACTGCACCGAGTTGTTGCGAACTAGATAAATTATGCAAATGACAAACATTTAAATTTGTATTTCCTCATTTATTTCATAGTTATAGGAGATTATTACCTCTCATCTAGTTGAAAAAGTGAAAATTCATGTTTTAGATGACCTCAGAAGGAAGGGTTGGTTGTGTTTTTAGCCCTTGGTCGTGCTGTCTGTATTTTTTACCTAGTTTTCCATCTGTCTTCAGTGTCTCACATTACCCAAGAGGACTTATCTGATGTAATTTTCCAGCCTTGTTGCAGTGATTCAGCAGCTCAAAGCAACCTGAGGAAAATCTCAGGATGAAACACATCATCTTCAAGAGTTGTCCCTTAAATAACATCTTGAGGGTACACTGCCTCTGTGATCAGAACATCCTGTTGCTCCCCTGTGCTGATTGAGAGGCTGCTTTATATATTTACCTCTTTTTAATTTTTTTGCTGTGTGGAAAAGGCAATAAGCAGAAGGAGAAAGGAATTTTATTCTCTGGAGTGCAGTTAGGGAATAGACTGTGGTCAAAGATCTTGCACAGCTGCACAAAAGGCTTAAGAAGAAATACCACTCATGCATCCTCAATCCCATAACCCATACAGAGGGCATTTTCAGTATTATGCTGTAGACGTGTCACACCATCTTGCTGTGTCCCTCAATATCTTCAAGAGTAAATCTGGTAGAAGGAAAATCCTCTGCTCTTTCTTCTGAAAGTTAGTTAGAAGATTTATTTCCATGAAGATAGGAAAAATAAGAAGGTGCACTCTGGAACCACTGTGCAGCTGTATGCAAACTGATGTGAGGTCTCATATTGCCTCTTCTCCAGATGTCTGATAATAAGATCTTGTTTGGTTTGTGAAATAAGAAATTTCTCCTAGTGTTGAGAATTTCTGCTCTCCTACTCTTCTATCCTACTGTTACTCCAGGGACTGCGTTGTTGATGTAGCAAACTGTTCTCTGGTTCTTAAGCACAAAGATCAACCAATCTGCAATTACAAACACACAGAGCATCATGATAGGTAATGGCCAGGATGTAATTTAGTTCAGTGTATCAATTCTGAGATATGAAACATTTTAGTATTCATTTATAAGTAATACATAGCACCATGCGTAGAGATAACTTGCTAGGCAGGTGATTTCAAGGTCT